CCCTATCCCCCAATGTTATGGTGTTAAGAGGTAGAATGTTTGGTAGGTGATTAGGATTAGATGAGGTCATCAGGGTGGAGCCCCTGGGGTGAGATTAGTGTCTTCATAAGAAGAGGAAGACAAGAGCTTTCTCTCAAGGACACAGTAAGGAGGCAGCTGTCAGCAAACCAGGAAGAGAGCCCTCACCAGACACCAAATCTCCCAGCACCTAGATCTTGGACTTCTCACACTCCAGGCTATGAGAAATAAAAGTTTTTGTGTGTAAGCCATCCAGTTTAGGATGACTAAGACAGACTCCAAGGAAAGATCTTTACTCACATATCTGGTGTCAGGTCTGGGGTTACCAATCCTGGTACCAGCATATGACCTCTCCATGAAGCTGAGGCTTTTCCATGGCAACTCAGGTGTCAGGTGTATCCTTACAACCAACAAGGCAGTAGCTACATCACCTTTTCTGACCCAGGCTCAGAAGTCTCACAGTGTCACTCTCTCCTCATTTCATGGCAACATGAGAATCATACATCTTTGGAAGTTCAAGAGGAGGGGACATAGATTTTACCCCTCGAAATGAAGAATGTCAAAGAATTTGCAATCACTTTTTATAACCACAGATTTTACTATAACTCCAAAATATTCATCTTAAGCCCAGAGTCTACATTTACATATCCAATTGCTTACTATACCACTCGCACTAATCGTAATAAGAGCAAGTAATTATAGGCACAGACAGCAGGTGCCAGGCACACTGTTAAGTATCTTACTAATTCACATAAACCTCACAATAACTCTACAAGGCAAATACTATTATTACCACTATTTTAACAAAGATGTTAAATAATTTGCCTTCAGATCACACAGCAATTATAATGGAGTGAAAACATCAGCATGGCTGTCTGGCTCCAAATTTTAAATCTTAGTGCACTATACGGCACAGATACTGTACAGAATCAGCACAACCAAAACAGTGTTCTCACCGACCATCCCCCTAATTAAAATAAAAATGTCTCATACTTCCTACACATTTTCTCCTTGGTAATAATTCATATAAAACTCAATGCAAAAGTCTGGGAGCCATGCAGATCTCTTCACCTCTCCCCACTCCCATATGGGATGTGTCCCCACATTGTACCAATTAATCCCTTAGAGATTCCCGTATCTGCCTACTCCTCCCCCAGACAACATCTCCGGGATTATCGCAGGGAATTTTAACTGACCTCCCCCCCCCCACCCCGGCTTTCTCTCTCCTTCAGTTGTGAGTCATCTTCCCATCCCCTAGATAGTGGTTCTCAACCTTCCTAATGCGGCAATGTATTTTCATTGTTAAAGGGGGGTTGCAATCCACAGGTTGAGAACCGCTGTCCTAGAATGATGCTCATAAATGCAAATTTGACCATTATATACGTTCATAATTCCTCAAAGCCTAGTAGTAGGATAACATCAAAACCTTAGTGTAACATACAAAATCCCCTCTACTGACCTGGCCCCTGACAGCTCTGGATCTTGTCTCCTGCCTCTATTCAATGTGCTAAGCTCTGTTTGTAGCAAATTACTTGCTATTTCCTAATTGGCCATCTGTTCCTTATCACCTGCCACTGCACATCCTATATAGATCTTTCTGTCTTCTCTTCCCTCCCGAGACTAGCCACCTGGCAAACATACAAGCTCCAGCTCTGACATCCTCTCCTTTGGAAGCTTCCTTTGTCACCTGCCCCAAGGAGAGTTGATCTTTATTCCATTCACTGTATAAAACACTGTCCCACTATTTTTGTTTAAAAAGGGAAAAAGAGGATGGGCAAGGTGGCTCATGCCTGTATGAGCACTCTGCACTCTGGGAGGCTGAGGCAGATGGATCCCTTGAGGTCAGGAGTTCAAGACCAGCCTGAGCAAGAGCAAGACCCCATCTCTACTAAAAACAGAAAAACTAGCTGGGAGTGGTGGTGGGTGCCTGTTACTACTCGGGAGGCTGAGGCAGGAGGATCTTTGAGCCCAAGAGTTTGAGGTTGCTGTGAGCTATGATGCCACAGCACTCTACCCAGGATGACAGAGTAAGACTCTGTTTCAAAAAAAAAAAA